AATACAATAAACATACTATATTAATGCATAATCACATGTTAGCAAAACTAAGAACACACACACAAAAGAGGAGTATCTTCAAAAATGTAAAATACAAAAACTATCAGAATGCTAGAGATCTCAAATAACCCAATCTCAAAAAATGAAATAGATCTAGCTTCAAAGGAACCACCAAAGAAAAAAAACCTCATTTGCCAATTTTCCAGCTATTAAAAGAGATCATCATGTACTATTAAAAATAAGCTAATGAAAGAATTGCTCATGGAAAACACAAGAGCATCTCACAGAAAACTAATGCAACAATTCTTATATTTTTTGCATCAAATGTAAAAACAATGAAACTCGAGATTATTTGGTCTAGCTCCTTTACTCTACAAATTAAGAAATCCCACCTATCAGATATAGTCTTATTTCTCCTCACTTTCATTAACATGGCATTTAATTGAAAACAAAATTATTTCTAATCGCCACAAAACGTAATATGCTTAAAACAAAATGAATATAGGTAGTCTTCAATGATCTACATATTACTTCAAGATTGTGCATTATTTTCAGGTTATTATATGGTGGCGCAAATATCCAATGCATAGAAGACTAGTCTGAACCTTTGGCCAGTAAAGGACAAACTATGGAAATTAATTATTCAATGAAATATAAGATAAGAGTATAGCTTGTCACAGGTACTCTTTATCAAGAAATCAAACGTATTAATGTCTTGCAGGCGTCAGAGTTTTGAGATTCCAGAAAAATAGGAGCTTAATATATTGTTGATTTATAATTTTTTAAAATGAATTTCTCAAAATCATTTTCTAAGTGCCTGGCAGCTTTGAGCTTAATATAAACTATAGCTCCTCCCAATTAAAAGAAAATGTCCAAAGCTATTTTTCATTTGTGAAAATAGCAATTTTTCAAAAATCTTAAATGTTTATGGCAGCACACTAATCAGTAATAAAATACGAAAGAAAAATGATGAAAAAATTAATATAATAAAAATATAATCTTTTGGTATCAATTTTTGAGGACAAACAATATGGAGTAGATTGCTTAATGAAAAATGCTAATTATAGTTCTAAACACTTAGAAAAAAAAGGAAGATTATTTCAATTTAAAACATTTTAAAGGAACTTAAGTGGAACAAAACTAGATGAGATAAGAGTACTCCTTGCTATTACAGATGAAATAAAAAGGGACACTTTAATATCCATTTTCTTTCCACTTAAAAAAAAAGTAGCCTTATATATTTTTCCTGTCTAATAATTTACTGGTACAGACTGACTGAAGAAAACAATGGCTATAGGCAGTTCCATTTCTTACTTTTTCAAGTTCATTCAAACTAAAAAGACTGTTCTTGGCATCCTCATCTCAATTCAGCTCCCCGACAGCACTTCAACAATGAGAACTGCAAACACCACCAATAATAACAGCTAACATTAAAACACTGCGAAACTAAGGCTGAGAGTAGTTAAGTAATTTGCTCAGGCTCACACAGCTATTAAATATCTGAGTCAAGATGTGATACCAGATTTTCGGCACTCTGGAGTCCAGCACTCAACACTATGCTACCAAGCTGCCTCAAAAAATGAATGAATGAATAAATTATAAAAATCATTGCATGCTTAATATGTCCAAAGCACATGGTAAAATACGAAAAGAAGAAAGGGAGTCCCCACTCTCAAGGAGCTCACATTCTGAGTGACACAACACATACACGTGATTTCAGAGATAAATCAAATATCAAGCTCCAGTGCTCCTTAGGGATATAGCAGCATAGTACCTGATAACGCAACTTTTTTAAATGTTTTCACTGATGAAATCATATCCATTTCTGATGTTGAACCATATGACAATGCCAAGGATTTTGGTGGAGAAAATTTTCTGTTCTAAGACTTCAGGAGTTGGGATAGCTGGTACTTTGGGTACTGCAGCATCTGTAGAGGCAGGGGACTGCCTGCTTCTCCACAAGGGATGCTTCTCTGAATGATCATTGCTGGGAACCAGACTGGATTCAGTGCCAGCATACTGTTGGACAATGCTATTACCGAGGCTACTGGGTTTGCCTACCCATCTGTGGGAGTTGACAGTAATAGTAATGGGGATGGCAGGTATCTTTTTCACGAAGTTTATACTCTACATCATGACTGAGAGTATTAAATTCTGCATGTCTTTTGACCCAAAGAAACCATTACTCAATCTCTACTCCAAAGAAATCAAAAAAAGAAGAAAAGGACCTATATGTACAAATACATTTATAGCAGCTTTTTTTGTGGTTGCAAATATCTGGAAACTGAAGAAGTACCCATTAATTGGGTAATAGCTGAAGAAATTATGGTATATGAATGTTATGGAATACTATCATGCTAAAAGAAATGAAGAGGATTGTTTCACAGAAAACTGATTAGCCTTGTATGAACTGATACAAACTGAAGTGAGCAGAACAATTTACAAAATAACATTATAAATAGATAATATAATCTAAGTCAAAGAGTAGATATTAGAATCAAAAAGTCATATGCTTTATTTTTTCCTTTGCCATGGCAATTTTAAATAATACCCCAGCTAGCTGCCCCCCTCAAATTTTGTGGTAAATGTTTACTATTTGAAGCAGATATACAAAATAAAACCAGCTTTTCTCTGCAGAGAAATAAAAGGCAGACCCAGAGATATGATGACTAGGCATTCTATGCCCCTAAAAAGATTAAAGAAAAGGACTCATGTACAAAAAATATTTATATTGCTTTTGTGGTTGCAAAGAATTAGAAACTAAAAGGGGTATCCATCAACTGGGGAAGCACTGAACAAATTAATATATATAAATATAATGGAATTCTATTGGCCCATAAAAAATGAGGAAAAAAGAGTTCAGAGAGACCTAGAAACTCTCATATGAACTTATATAGAGTGAAGTAGACAGCACCAAGAGAATAATACAACAGCATTGTCAAGACAAACAACTCTGAAAGACATAAGAATCGATACATAGAACGAACAACCACGATTCAAGAAAACCCACAGGGGCAGCTAGGTGGGCAGTGGATAGAGCACTGGCCTTGGAGTCAGGAGGACCCAAGTTCAAACATGGCCTCAGACACTTGACACTTACCTAGGTGTGTGACCCTGGGCAAGTCACTTAACCCCATTGCCTAGCCAAAAAAAAAAAAAAAAAGGAAAGAAAACCAATGAAGTATGCTACCCATCTCCTCATACAGAGGTGAGAGACAGCATGTAGATCAAGACATGCAATTTCTGGAGATGACTGATGAAGGATTTTTTTTTTGGGCCAGACTATGCATATTTCTTACAAGGCTTTTGTTTTTTTCCTGCCCTGCCCCACCTACATGGGGGGTGGGGGGTGGGAGAGAAGAAACGTGGGACATAATGAGAAAACAAATTCTTGTTAATTCAAAAAAACTAAATTTTAAAAACAAGTAACAGGCAATTTTCTTTCATAGTTTTTCTTCTAACACTTCCTTCTACCTATATCTGTTTTTAAACAGGCTTTTATGCCTCCTCTTGGAAATCAGCAAGAGAAATCTTTTAAAGAATTTCTCTTTGCTTGAGAGTGAATGAAATTCTGTTTTTCTCTTAAATAGGAATCACAAAAATCAACTGCTGACTATATTAAAATGATACTGAATTATATTTTAAATATTTTTTCAGTTCCAAAAACAATGTTGTATTCCACCAAGCACTATTATAACAAATAAATGTTTTCTGATACTGATCAACAGTATTTTCATTTTCATTTCTCATCTGCATTTAGTAAAACTTTTATCTGGGTATATATTACATTAAATAAAAGCCATAATAAATAAAATTTCCAAAATAAAAGAGATATTTTCCCAAAGAGTTCAACTTAATTCCAGTTTTAAGCATGTGAACACATTTAGAGTCCACTTACCTCTTTGTTCTTAAATATCTCATGGTATTTACAGACAAAGCTGGTAGGGGCTTCCACTTTGTCATCTCAAGTACTTAGCCCGCCCATTCATACCTAAATCTATAAAATTTCTATTCCTAGCCCCCTCGACTTGTTATACAGACTCCTGTTTATTAAAAAAAAATCTTTCAGTTACTCATTTTGTATCTCCTCCAATATCCCCCAACACATACCACCAATTTATTCCATTTAAAACAAAGCAGCACTCAATGTGATACCCACCTGGCTATGAAACATTTAAATTAGCTTTTAATACATCTTTTTAAGGCCTAGCTTTCCCATATGTTTTATTATGAAAGACAAACCCACCCTGCAGTGCAGTCATTAAAATAGAAACATAGTTAAATAATTTTAAAATTAACAGAAATAATCTGTTATGATATTTTTATTATTAAGTCAAAATAGATTGTGGCATTTATTTTTAATTTCAGAATACTACATATTAAGTACTTGGCTGAACTGCCCAAATGAAACTTTAAAACTTCTACTTAAAATGCAACACGCTGATTTGGACCTCTGTCAAAGGATGTTTATTCTTATGTATATTCAAGGATATATCATGTATGTATAATTTGTTTTGGTCAAGAGTTCTGGGTTCATAGGACCACTCATATGTTTCATACCCATATAGTATATAACTAATATTTCAAAATGCTAAATATAAAACTGTAAGAAGATATTAAGTACAGATGACTGCTACAACACAAAAAAAGATGATTATTAAACAGCTGCTAATATCATATAACACATTCTACATGACTTGAAACAACAAATATATGAAGTTTTGTTAAGCCATAACCCTGTGATAATCATACATCAAGCTCCTATTTCAAATAGCATCTGGAGGTGAGAAGGAGCATAGCAACATAATGACAATTGTTTAGAATTTGTTTTAAATAATACTTACCAACTCTGGCCCTAAGATTTAAACATCAACATATTATAAAAGCATAAGAAGGCAGGATCTTGAACAACTGAAGTGTTTACTACGTTGAATTGTCAAATAACATGAATATATCCCACACCATATTTCCCCGTAAGTCAACAAAGATTCACACAATACCTGAAGCAATGGGAAATGCAATTGCTTCCAATTATTTACGAATTTCTTTCTTTTCTTTAAATTCAATTTTATTTTCAGTTCTGAATTCTTCCAACTCCCTCTTTTCCACCGAGAAAGCAAAAAAGACAAAACCCATTATAAATATGTATAGTCAAGCAAAACAAATTCCCATATTAGGCATGTTAAAAAATGTATGCTTCAATTTACATTCTGAGTTCATCATCTCTCTTATCTGGAGGTAGATAGCATGTTTCATCTTAAGTCCTCTGGAACTGTTGTTAACAATTTCTTCATTATGAAGGTTCAAATGTTTCCCTAACTACTAACTTACCATCATACTAATGGTCAATCTATAAAAAAGAAAGGAGGCAAAGAAAAAAGGTGATTAGATCTCCATAACCAGAAAATTAGTGTGTGTTTATATGTATATATGTGTGTGCATGTGTGTGTGTTTATGTGTGAAGGGGGAGAGGCTGGATGGGGAGGGAGTGTGTTAATATTCATGCTAAAACCAAGATAATTAGGTGATATCTGGATATGTGAAAAAACAGAACCTAAATGTCATTCAAATTTAGCAAGCAAAACAAATTACAAAAAGAATGAATGGGATGATCTGTCAAACATTTCATGAAGGATTCTTCTGCCATGAAAATAACCCAGTATCAGTGTCAGAAAACCGCCCAGAGATGTGCCGCCTGCTGAGGCTCCTTCTCTGCCACTACAAAACAGTCATCACTCAGCATGAGATGGCAGCAGTAGCTCCCTACTGACTGCTGTGATTGAGGACAGAGGGCTTTAGAGAATGTAGAATAATGTCTATGACCGAATAAGCTCTGTAAGGCCCAGGACTGTTACTCTTGTGTCTCGGCATCACCAAAGATCAACACACTGCTCACACGCAACAGATGCTCAACACTGCAAGAACCAAATAACTTTCCTTTGAAATAAAAATTTCCAACCAACTGTGTCTATTTTCGTTGCTCGATGGATTAAAGGAAGAAGAAGGTTAAATCAATTGAAACAGGCTGAGTCCTCAAGGTAGTCTCACATTCTGATTCTCCTAATGTTAGTCATTTGTTGGACTGGACTGAGAAACCCCCAAAAGAAGCTTTGAGCCAAAGTAAAATTTGGGGGAATTCCAATATCCTTCATTTCAGAGATATTCATAGAGGCCTGAACTTGTTTACTAGATCTAGAGGCCCTATTTCCTTCTGATATTAATGTTTCCCTGCTAGTTTATTTTCAAATCACTGAAGTCTTTAAATTTTCTTCCTTTTGAAATCATTGCTAATTTCAGTCTTGTTATTGTCCCCTATTGCTCATTTTATGACTCCCTCCCCTTTGACAGGATCCTAACAGACATCTAGTTCAATTCAAACCTGAAAAGAAATACCCACTTTAATATGTCTGGCAAGTGATCATTGAGCCTTGCTTCAAGATTCCTAGTGAGTAGGAACCCACTCTCTGGAGGAAGCAACTTTTGTTTTTGGACAGCTCTAATTTTTAGGAACATTCTCCTAACATGAAACCTTACTATTCCCCTTGGTAACGTTGAACCATGGCTCCTGAGTCTGTCCTCTGCAGCCAAAAAGAATCACTCTTATGCCTCTTCCGCATAACAGACCTTCAAGTACTTCAAAACAGTCTCTTGAAATTTTTTTTCTTTTGTATATTCAAAATCCCTATTTCCTTCAACCAGTCCTGAAGGGCCTTGGCCATCTTGGATACCTCCTCAGGATGTCCTTCCCAAAATGCAATGCCCAGGACTAAATATGGAGACTATCACTTCCTTATTGCTATAAACTATGCTCCGTGGTATAGCCTAAGCTTCCATTACCTTTTGTGACTATCCTACAAAATGCATTCCTGACACATACTGACCTTGCAGTCCACTAAAATCTCCAAACCCATGTCTGTCTAACCTCAATTATCATCTTGTATTTCTCAAGATGATTTTCTGAAATCTAGTGTAAAATTTTACATTTATCTTACAGTACTTCTTCATATTTGATCTGCCTGTTGAAATCTGTTTGAATCCTGCCTCTTAGAATCCTGAGTTTTCTTGAAATCTCCACTCAGGCACTACCTTTTACATCAGATCCTTTCTCATGGTTTTTAGCATACCTCCAGGTAGACCTGAGTTCAAATCCAACCTCAGACACTTACTAGCTGTGTGACCCTGTGCAAATCACTCCACCTTGTTTGCCTCAATTGCCTCATCTATAAAATGTGCTAGAGAAGAAATGGCAAACCACTCCAGTACTTTTGCAAAGGAAAGCCCAAATGAGGTCATGAAAGGTCAGATATGACTGAAACAACTGAACAACAAATGAAGGTTCTATGGGATATGAGCTGGTTTTTGGAAATAAGAACATTTTTCGGCAGCTAGGTGGTACAGTGGATAGAATGCTGGGCCTGGAGTCAGGAAGACTCATCTTTCCAAGTTCAAATACAGTCTCAGACACTTACTAGCTATATGACCTTGGGCAAGTCACTTAATCATGTTTGCCTCACTTTCCTCATCTGTAAAAATGAGCTAGAGAAGGAAATGGCAAACTACTCCTGTATCTTTGCCAAGAAAACTCCAAGTTGGGTCATGAAGAGCTAGACAAAACTGAAAAATGACTGCGCAACAAATGTAGCTTTGTGAAACCTGTAAACCTAAGAATCTGAACTACACTTTCATCTAAGTAACTGATTTCAAACTAAAACAAAAAATAACACAAGGCTAAATATACATACCTACAGGCTTCTCCTGGAGACATCCTGTCAAAATGACAACAGTTACAAATAATAACTACAATTTGGGACTAGTCAGCCAGTTCCAAATACAATCAACAGTATTAGCATGTTTCCCACATCTCTACCCATCTTTTCCAAAAGAATAGTATGAAATGCTTTACCTAAATGCTTAGCTAAAATCTTGATAACTTATAGATAAGTTATCTGCTAAAAAAGGAAAGACAGTTGGTCTGGCATTGTTTTTGATGAAGCTATGCTAGCTCTTTGTAATTGCCACTCCCTTTCATCAATGTTCTTAAATCATCTTTGTAATAATCCCTTCTACAATTTTTTTTCTAGGAATTAACATCAAGCTTATTGTCCTACAGCTTTCACACACTCTCTATACTCTTCCCTGAGGTTCTTCCCTCCCCAATCAGGATATTTGGCCTTCTCTAGGTTAAGAGTAACTCTCTTATTCTCCATCATCTTTCAAATATCAGAAATTACAATATAGTAGCTCAGCAATGTTAATCTGCCATTTTTTTCACTAGCATTCAGATAAGTGTTCATCTGGGCTATGTAAATTCATCAAAAGCAACTAGATGTTTCTCCTTCCTTACAAAGAAGGTACCAATTTCCTATTGCCTATTTTCTGTTCTGTCATTTCCAATGCTCACTGAATTTTCCTGGCTTCAGCCTTCCCAGCAGCAGTAACGGCACTACCACAAGGGGCCATCCTTCCAGCGATCAAGTATTCTTCTGCCTTCCCCCCAAATTACCTTGCATTTACTTTGTCCATATTTTGGATGTACTTTTATTTATATGCATAGTTTCCCGACAGAATATAAGCTCCTTGAAGGCAGAGACTGTTTCACTTATATCACTGCATCTATAATCTATAATACCTAGCACAATGTTTGGCATATAAGTAAATGCCAAAAATGCTTGATAATTAAATTAAGTGCTTCTTCCTTTACACTAAAAAAAAACAAAACAAAACACCACTACTTTCTACAACCTGCAAATTACCCCATATTTAAATTTAGCTTTTAAAAAGCTACAATCTTTGCTGAATTTTTCTAGCTTTCCTCTATCTGTCATCATAATGAATGCATATGATACATCAAATATCAGTAATATTTTGTTATAATTAAATTTATTAGAATCCTCCTCAACTAAAGGTATTGGGCATTGTGTGGATAAGAAAATTATTCTTTCAGTTTTATAATCAAACTCTTACCACTCAAAAATCTGATCCAAAGTTTAGTGCTTTCTTTAAAAGAAATATACTTTATTGCACTTAATTTAAAAAAAAAAACTGTAGCTACTTTTGGGTATTAAGATTGTGAAACCACTGTGATAGGAAGACCTATATTATATATATACAACTTTGACTTATATGTTCTTTTTTTTTTTTATCAAAAAGCCTTTTTAAAAAATAACATGTAAAAATGAGTACAAAAAATTAAGCTTACAAACTAAGACCAAAACAAAAGGATTAGGTATTTGGTCTCTATTTCATCTTTTTGCATTCAATAATATTCTTTTCTTTCTACTTTTAGCAGAACGAAAAGCAATTGCAATGCCCTTAGGAAAATTAGCACCAGTAACAAAGTATTTCTTTTTGCAAATGGTGTTATTTGCAAATGGTGTATCATGTTATTTATCTAGTAGCTTTCATTAACCAAAGCCCTCCCTTTCCTGATAGAATTAACTGATGAAGTCTGACAAAACAGAGCTCATAGTGTTCATTCAACTCCCACAACTAAGCAGCTGAATATCCTACATCTTTTAAAATACTATTCTTAGAGAAGGTTTCACATGGTATCATGCATCATCTTGTTGCTAATCACAAGATCTTGAAATGTTTTCCAGTTGCCTTTAAAAATATCTTAGATTTCTAAAATACACTTAAGTATTACAATGTTCAAACAAAAAGGGATCAATAAAAACAATTCAAAGAAATATCGACAAACAAAAGGTGTGTGTATGTATGTATGGTCAATCTCAGACATACTTTAAATCCAGTCAAGTGTATGTCCATTCAAGTTTTACAGTCTATCTAACACATGTACCCTTTTCCTCTACTCACAGGGCCAAATGCACGCATTAAACTAATAATAATAGCTTGTGAATAGTGTTACCTTTTTAACAGCCTCTCTTTTGAGGCTGCCACCATCCTAGTACAGGCCCTCATCTCCTTCCACCTAGACTACTGCCAATAGTCTGATGGTTTGTCCATCCCCTGGCCACAAATCTTTCCACATACCAGTCCATCCTCTATTCACTGCCAAAGCGGTTTTCCTAAAGTGTAGGTCCAACCATGTCACCCCATATTGAATAAATTCCAATCCCTCCCTAT